CACTGCTCGACCTCATAGGTACCTTCTGTTGGAAAGCCTGAGGCTTCATGGAGTTCTGCTCCCGCTGGTCGGCCACGCAGGCAGCTGCACGTAGGGATGCTGAAAGGTTGTAGTTAAGTCTACTGCTTTTCTAAGGATGCTTCATCAATCAAACCACAAGGGAAACTCAGTTCCATCATAAAGTTGAACTTGAAAATAGTTTCTTCTCTCCCCACCACCGCCTGCCACCACCCCAAAGTGTCACTGTGTGTCTCAGAGCACCTGGAAAATGCAATTGGTGGATCCAATAGCAAGAAAAACAACTCTGGACTCTGAAGTCACATGGGAATGAAGCTCTTAAGATGAAGAAGAGATTAGGATACTGGGAGGAGAAGGGCTGGAGGGAAGGGCGGTCAAAAAGATCTCATCTGTGTTTTGAGCTATGCTGCTCTTTGGGGGTTTTTCCAACGGCAAAGCCGGCTCCAACTGTTTGGGTGCAAAAGAAAGTAGCATAAAGTAGCTGAGTCTGTGTAATTATGTGGAATTCATAGAAGGGAATGCCCATTTCCTCCCCACCTCCTGCTCTCCCTGCCCCTGTTTGTTTCTCCTTGCAGGGCAGTAGGAACATCCCTATCCTGCCCCGTGAATGAGCCCTTTCCCATTTTAAGCAGGTAGTGCTTGGAGGCACCATGGTGCTGTGCAGGTTTCCAGGACCAGGTTGACCGATAACATCTACCTTTTCTTGCTCTGACAAACACGGAGCCCTGCCTTCAAAGAAACTATTGTGTAGCTTTATAAAGCAAAGCCCTGTGAGGTTGAGAAGGAAATTGAGGCTGTCCTCATGTTCTTTGTCGCATACTGCTGGGACATTTGGGTCCTCTTAAGAAACAGGAAGCCTTTATAGGTAAGTGACTCAAATCTAATTCTCAAATAAGGAAGATGGGCTACCCCCTTGTGCATGAAGATTTGGGACACTGTCACGTGGCATCTCACTGAGGCTGGTGGCATCCAGTGGCTGTGTGAGATGGGTTAGGCTGGACAGGGTGTGGGATGCTGTGGGATGCGGGTGGAGGTGAGCTGCAGGCGCTGCCGGACTTTCGGAAGCTCCATGAGCCACCGTGGGTCAGTGTCCAAGTGCCCTGCGTGACTCGACAACCTCTCGGTGTGGAATTCCCATCACTTGTGTTGCTCCACATTGTGGCTGTCTCTGGGCAGCCTGTTGTTCTTGAGAACTTGTGTTCCCAAGGCACCAACGTGCGAACGCTGAGGCCGCTCTTGGCTGCGGCCCGCGCCAAGCGCGAGCGACACCGTTCAACGCGTGGAGCCATCCAGCACGTCGGGGCATGCAGGCAGCTCGTCGCCAGGGTGGCTGGCACCCTGTCCCTGCACCCGCTTACACGTTTTTTCCAGCTCGTCTCCCACTGCATTCTTTGATCTCCCCAGCACCCCCACTTCCCTCACACACTTTCTCAGTGTCAATAATATATAAAAAATGCACTTTGATGGTGAAAAAGCATGAGGGAAAAAGCTCAAGGAGAATCAAATTTGAAAGGAGCCCTCAAATTGATATGTTCAGTTTGTGGATGGGAATTTGAGAATATTCCCAAGCACACCCCGTTATTCTCACCTCACTCTTGTTCATGGTGAGGGCGCAGACGTGCATATGGGCTCAGTGCCTGCAGTAAAGCCCTGTGGACAGCTGGGAGGCTTTTGCCCTCGGGATTTACTGCCACGTGGGCCTCCTCCTGCCTTGCTAGAGGTGATTTGGTGGCATTATGAGCCGGGGGCCGCCCAGCGAAGGATGCTCGCTGGGGATGGGGCCGCCCGGGTAGCGGGGCAGCCGGTGCCATGGCCCTGGGGCTCATGGTGAGGCGCTGCCGCTGCTCACACAACGGCTTCCTGCACCTGCGGTAAGTGCTCGCGCCGCCCGCCCGGCTGCGCGGAAATAGAGCCGAGCGCATGAATGATGGAAGCAGAATCCCACCTTGTTTTTCTTATTTAGTCATTCTAATTTAATCCTTTTTTAAAAGAAAAAAAGAAAGGGGGAGTGTGATTTTTATCCTGCTGGAGACTTGGGGATAAAGATCTGTGTTATGCAATGCATTATTAAGGCTTGACTCACTCCATGCTTGCACTCATTCAGCATATCCGTTTCTGTGCGTGCTAGAATATGGGGAGGGGGACTGAGGGGGAGGTTTCCAGAGAGACATCTCGCTCCCGTCTTGATGAACGTTTCGGCTGGTTTTCTGCTGCTCGTTTTCAGCAAACACTGAACAAGATGTTGGTGTTCAGGTTGCTGTCACGGCCCTTCTCCCTGAGGGCGGCCGGCTCGCTTGACCCCTTTATAGAAACATACTGCCTTGTGGCTGGTGGTTTGCTGCAAACCAAGGTCCTCCTCATAGCATTCATTGAGAAATCTCTTAGCAGCGAAATGAAGCTTAGGTGGTTAAGCATCTGGGAAAAATACAAGAGTTTGCAATGCTGGGAAGAAATGGGTCGAGTTAGGAGACTGTTCCGGTGAGGAGCTGCCGCAGCTGAGGAGGCGCGTGCTAGTCAAGCTGGGATCCATACAGAGCGCGGGGATGGCCTTTGGGCACGGAACAGCCCTGTGCCAAACGGCGAGGCTTTGGGCAGGGCCTCGCATTTAGATCCGAGCAGAAGCTCTGGGGGAGGCGAAAGCAGCACTGCTCTCCCGGGAGCCGGGCAGCGGCACACGCAACCCTGCGGTCCGAGTTTTCAAATAACAACCACAAGGGAACCACTTGGGCTCTGAGAACTGTTGCCCAGGATGTTTTGCTAGTGGCAGGTGGATGCAGGGGCGGGTGAGAGGCCTGCGGGGGAAGGGGTGCTGCTGCTTGCTAGTTCGTTCTTTAATTTTCATCTTTCAGCTTGCGGATGTCCGCAGGGCTGTTTTCCAAGCGGTGCAGCACTCTGCCTCCTGAGCGCAGTCATCGGGAGCCATCCGTGCTTGGTAGGTTGGCTGTTAAATAGGTCAAAATCAGCAGGAGAGCTCCATAACCAGCGCGGCGAGGAGTTAACCCTTTGCCTCGCGAGCCTTGGCACGAGGAGACCGTGGCAGGAGGCGCCCCGCGGGCTGCCCCCGAAAGCTGGAGGGTTGTGGTCTGCAGCACTCCCTGCTCCCGCCTGGGATCTTCCCCTTGCGGAGGGCGTGCAGGGAGAGGGACCACTAAGGTTTGGGGCACTGGCCGGGCTGTGACAGGGGAGAGGAGTCGCGGCACTGAAGACCGTTGCTCCAAACGGTGCAACAAGAGGTGAGACGTTTAAACCGATCCTTGTCCTGCTGCTCTCCCCACGTGATGGCAAGCACGGCCGCAGGGCGCTGGTCAGCAACAGCCGCTCGCTCTCAACTCTTAACATCTTCTGCCAGGGCTCTTGTGCACAGGGGAGCAGGAGAAAAGCAGCGGGAAAGACAAAAAGTCAATCATCCGAGGCGAGTTGTAATTTAAATCGGGATTTGGTTGTTAATGGGGCTGTTTAACAGCAACAGATTTGCACGGGCAGCCCTGCCCCCCGCGCCGGCGCGCCTGATCTGCCTGTTTACAGTAAGCTGCTTCCCTGGGATTAGTGGAGGAGCTTCCCGCCCGCGTAGGGTGCCCGCGTCGCGGCCTCGCGCTGGCCGCTGCGGGCTGCCCTCTCCAGCTGCCGCCTCTGGCGCAGGGGGCAGGCCAGGGCACCCCGCTGCAGGGGGAGGGATGCGGCG